GGGCTGGTGGGTGTGGGTGTGGGTGTGTTTAAATTTTAACTATCATGCCTCTTCCTACCCCACCCCTCTTTGCATTTCTTTCTGTGTCCCCAGCAGCCTTACATTCCCATGCAACAGCCTTCAATTCCCATTACATTATTTACATCTTAGATTTTAAGAAGCTGCTGCTGCTGCTGCTGCTGATGATGATGATGATGATGATGATGATGATGATGATGATGATACGAGTTACGCTGATGATGGGCATACATTTATTGATATGCTGCTGCTGTTTTTTTGTCTTTTTGCACTAATTGGATGATGCTGTTTTTCTTATCATTTCCCGGTCGTTTTTCACCTTTTGGATGATGTTGGTTTTTGTCGGTGAGCAGGAGGATGGCCGCACGGAATGGTACACTTGGGTGTTGAGCACTGGCTGGTTTGATTTTGAGGCGCCAGTTGACTTAGCCGCGGTGGCCGTCACGGGTTCGCTCTCACTGATTCTAGTTGGGGGCTTTGCATACTTAAACAGGTGTGTATCATTTCTAACTATGGCATGCGTATATATGTTGGGGGAACGGATTTGTGACCCATCATATGTCCAATGATGCTTTTCTGAGTATGGGCCTGCCTCCACCATTTGTCAAAACATGTTGTGAGGGAAACAAAAATGAAAAAGGTGTCTGGCTGAATATACACTCACCACTTTACATACTTGGTGATTAGTGCAGTATGGAAGGGGGCTATGTCAATCAGGTGAACCAACTACCTTTCTTGGCTTCCATCAACAAATTATTAGAATGAAAAGATGGACAACAAGCAGAAGAAGATATGAGTATTACATATCATGGCGTCATCACCTCCTTCCCCACAACCCTTGACAACCAACCCGTTAAGGATACTCAATCCTTCTAACTCAGATTGAGGCCGATGTCTCCATGAATTTGAGCAAATCAGAGGAGCATAATGATAATATCATAAATAACACCATACTAATCATGAGAAACTCAAGACCAATCATGGAAACAATAGCACATAAAAGAATAATGAATGATAAATAATCAATAGTAATTATTCAAAAATGACACATGAAAAATGAAATGACAAATGAAAGTATAAGAGAGAACAACGATCTCCTGAGAGAACTGCACCTCAAACTCGTCCCCAAGCCACGACATGGTCAAGTCTGAGGCTCTATGCCATCAACAAAATTATTAGAATGAAAAGATGGACAACAACATGAAGACGATGAAAAATGAGTTTACATATCATGGTGTCATCACCTCCTTCCCCACATCCCACGGCGACCGCTCAGATTGAGGCCAATGTCTCCGTGAATTTGATCAAATCAGAGGCGCAGGATGATAATATCATAAGTAACATCATACTAATCAAAAGATGGACAACAACAATAAGAAGATTATATGAGTATTACATATCATGGCGCCATCACCTCATTCCCCACATCCTTGACAACCAACCCGTCAAGGATACTGAATCCTTCTCACTCATACGCCACTCAGATTGAGGCCAATGTCTCCGTGAATTTGAGCAAATCAGAGGCGCAGAATGATAATATCATAACTCGTTCCCAAGCCACGACAAGGTCGTGTCTGAGGCTGTATACCATCAACAAAATTATTAGAATGAAAAGAATGGACAACAACAAGAAGAAGATGATATGAGTATTACATATCATGGCACCATCACCTCCTTTCCCACATCCCTTTGAGAACCAACCTGTCAAGGATACTCAATCCTTGTAAACTCATTCGTCACTCAGAGTTAGGCCAATGTCTCCGTGAATTTGAGCAAATCATAGGCGGAGATTGATAATATCATAAATAACATCATACTAATAATGAGAAACTCAAGACCAATCATGAAAACAATGGGACATGAAAGAATGATGAATGATAAATAATCAATAGTAATTATTCAAAACTGACAAATGAAAAATGAAATGATAAATGGAAGTGTCTGAGAGAGAGAACAGTGATCTCGTGAGAGAACGACACCTCAGACTCATTCCCTAGTCATGGCGAGGTCGAGTCTGAGGCTCTATACCATCAACAAAATTATTAGAATGAAAAGATGGACAAGAAGAAGAAGAAGATGATATGAGTATTGCATAGCATGGCACCATCACCTCCTTCCCCACATCCCTTGACAACCAACCTGTCAAGGATGCTCAATCCTTCTAACTCATACGCCACTCTGATTGAGGCCAATGCCTCCGTGAATTTGAGCAAATCAGAGGCGCATAATGATAATATAATATAAATAACATCATACTAATGATGAGAAACTCAAGACCAATCTTGAAAACAATGGGATATTTTTGAATGATGAATGATAAATAATCAAATAGTAAATTATTCAAAAATGACAAGTGAAAATATAAGTGAGAACAACAATCTCCTGAGAGAACGACACCTCAGACTCGTTCCCAAGCCACGATAAGGTCGAGTCATAGGATCTATGCCATCAACAAAATTTAATTAGAATGAAAAGGTAGACAACACCAAGAAGAAGATGATACGAGTATTACATATCATGGCGCCATGAACTCCTTCCCCACATCCTTGACAACCAACCCGTCAAGGATTCTCAATCCTTCATACACCACTCATATTGGGGCCAATGTCTCGACGAATTTAGCAAATCAGAGGTGCAGAATGATAATATCATGAGAAACTCAAGACCAATCATGAAATCAATGGAACATGATAAATAATCAAATAGTAATTATTGAAAAATGAAATGACGAATGAAAATATAAGCGAGAACAAAGAACTCAAGACCTTTCTTGGGTCGCTGGCTAAAAATAGACCACGTAGTTTCTGTTCAGGCCGCTTCAACGAGGTCCATCGAGCCACAAAAAAGGGTCCCGAGTGTGGGCGGAGTGCTGCTGACACAGTAACCAAGTCACTGATCCTTCTCACTTTCTCTCTCTCTCTCTCTCTCTCTCTCTCTCTCTCTCTCTCTCTCTCTCTCTCTCTCTCTCTCTCTCT